TTTGTAATGTTTTGAACAACTAATAATAAAAAAAAAAGAAGGGGAGATAGGAAATCACCGGAAAAGACGGGGGCCAGCCAGAGTAGGATGCATTACTTTCTGTCAGGCGAAGAAGAGTAGAATATTCCTAAGTTTTTGGAGGGGACTCTAAAGAACCCATAAAATTATTATTCATCTTTAAATTCCCATTAGTCCCCCAAAGCAAGAAGCTGGCCCAGAAGTGAATCAGTCAAAAGAAGAATTTTCTGTCCCCCTTTGCCCCTCCTCCATCCAACTTTGTTTGCCTCTGGCAGGGTCATTAACCTGGTCAGTAACTGCTGGGAGAGCAGACAGGCCCAGGGCTGGAGAGAGAATGTGGGGAGGGGAGAGGATGAGACTCTTCTCCACTAAATGCTGTCAGCCTTGGGCACAATCTTCCCCAGAGATGATTTAACATTAAATCAGATTAGAAGTTAAACTTCTTATGTGAACTGGACTTTCTGATTTTTGAATTAAGATAGTTTTTATGGCTTAAAGTGACTTGAACACTTTTCCTAGCACTATGCTGTTAATGCATTTGCCATTTTTCTGTGAAACAACCGTATTAAGGAGGAACTCCCATTCGACTTTACATTTAAGAAACAGAAGTGAAAGACATTGAATCAGTTTTCTGAGGTTTACACACTATTAGAAGTAGAATTAGCATCTGAACTCAGGTAATCTTCCTATCCTTTACTCTTTACTGGATTCACCTTTCTTCAAGAATTTATGTTCATATTCCCTAAGGCACCATAGGGCCTGGCATTTAGTCTCAACAAAATTTTACTTAGTGACTAGTACATAGTGTGGTTGGTAATATTTCTTAGTAACACATGCAAAATTCAGGAAATACAGCAACAAGCAGCTTAGGCTTTGGAGTGTGGGTGGCRTTGAGTTCTGGGCCCACTTATTGATAGCTATTCTTCTTTAGGAAATTATTTAACTTGTCTGTACCCGAGTTTCCTCATTTGTAAAATGGAATAATAATACTTATATCAGCATTATGGTGAGGACCAAGTAAGATAATAAACATAAAGCACCTGATAGTACCTGGAAATTAACATATTAAATGTACTTGGTGTATAGCTCAAAAATATGATGATATATATTTTTTGAATTTTGTTTTATTTTGTGTTTCTGAATTAGCAGAGGTAGATTTTGGTAGTGGTACACAGTTACAAACCACCCTAATCCAAATTGTGAAGAACAACTGAAGCTTTCGAGCAACTCAGACGTATCTCTCCCACAGTCCTCTTTTGTTTTTAATTTTATTTTTTTATTTATATATGACAGCAGAATGCATTACAATTCTTATTACACATATAGAGCACAATTTTTCATATTTCTGGTCGTACACAAAGTATATTCACACCAATTCGTGTCTTCATACATGTACTTTCCCACAGTCCTCTTGACTAACGTGATGCCCTTGCTGACTGACTGTTCCTGTTARGTGGCTGTTCTCCCTCATTCCCATGTGTTTCTGCTCCTTTGTGAGGTATGCTTCTGGTGGGTCACTGTACTTGTTCTTAAATCTACTTTCTTATAGTTACATAAGTTAATTAAATATGAGTTAAATGAAGTGCGAATGTGAAGACTTTATAGTTATCTCCTTAGCTTGCCTTTTGTCTCCAAGGGGACAGTCTGTCCTCATGATTCTTTCCCTTGTTTAGGAGAAAAAACTGACTAAACTCATTCACACTAAAGCATAAATGACTTCTGTCCCTCTCAGTTGCAGTTGCATTTTAATAGGATTGAATGCTCTAGCCAAAGGAAGAAGGCTTTATTTGAGAGTTGGACAGGGTGACTGTTTTATCCTATTTAAAACCATGTCATAAATCCTCCTTGATCCCTGCATGCTTTGAAGTATAGAATTGTTTCTGTTATAATTGTGCATGTCTGTGAGGAATTATTAATAACATCTGGAATATAATAAGCACTCAATAGGTGTTGGAATTTTTCTTCACATTTA